GTTGACTTGACCAGCTTCTATACGCAAAAACCATTAAGTAAATGGCAGAACCACAGCAAAGCAAAAGAAAGAACATTTCAGAAGGAACAAAGAGCCCATATGTTTTTACTTTTCCCAGTGTGTCACCCTAAGAGATGAAAAACAGTTCTGAATTCTTGAGAGTATCCTCTTCTGCTCCTAAAAAGGTACCTCAGCCAGCTTGTCTTGCTAAAAGGAAAGCCTGGACAACTGCCCTTTGCAGTTTCCAGAGAGTGAATTTTAAACGTTGCTTATGGCCTTTGTTATGGATTGTTTGGTTTACAACATCAACAAAAAGAATCCTGTAACTTTGGCAGGAGTCTGAAAACAGTGTCTTCACACCTGATCTAGGCCATGAGATATTTCATCTGTACCTGTTTAATTAGCTTTCTGGCATGTTTGTTAGATTGCATGTAATTAATTAATCCAGTGCAAATTTACAGTTCCTTCATTTGGACAGCTAGGTGAGCAGTTCCACAAGGAACACAATTCCCATTTCAGGGGCTTAAAACCAGAGACAGTCAGGGACTAATGCCCACATATGTGAAGCAGCAGTTCCAAAAATTTGAAGACAAATAAGCGCACTCATGCAGATCAATTGCATTCTTAGGCACAGTGTTTCCAACACACACAATACCCAAAATAATGTGAAGGAGGTGTTGGAACATATTACACATGGAAATCCTGTTGACTCATTGATGATTCAACATTAAAACTCCTCAAGTCAATCTGAAGCTGGTCAGGTGGAAAGCCTGGCTCTTGGAAAAGTAAATGCTAGGTTCCTGTCGCAGGTGCTCTGAAATACTGTGGGATTCATTCACTGTTTTCGATGCACACTATTAATCAGTACAAAGCTATTGTAGTGTCTAATGGACTTATCATAGAATCATAGAATCATAGAAGGTTTTGGGTTGGAAGAGACCCCTAGAGGTCATCTAGTCCAACCCCCCCGCAGCGAGCAGGGACACCACTAACTAGATCAGGTTGCTCAGAGCCCTGTCCAACCTGGTCTTGAATGTCGTTCCAGTGTTTCACCACCCTCATTGTAAAGAATTTCTTCCTTATATCTAGCCTAAACCTACCGTGTTTTCGTTTAAGACCATTGCCCCTCGTCCTGTCACTGCTGTCTCTACTAAAAAGATTGTCCCCATCTTTCCTATAGGTTCCCTTTAAGTACTGAAAGGCTGCAATCAGGTCTCCCCGCAGCCTTCTCTTCTCCAGGCTGAACAAGCCCAACTCTCTCAGCCTGTCCTCATAGGAGAGGTGCTCCAGCCCTCGGATCATTTTTGTAGCCCTCCTTTGGACCCGCTCCAAAAGTTCCATGTCCTTCTTGTGCTGAGGGCTCCAGAACCAAAAGCAGTACTCCAGGTGAGGTCTCACCAGAGCAGAGTAGAGGGGCAGAATCACCTCTCTCGACCTGCTGGCCATGCTTCTCTTGATGCAGCCCAGGACATGGTTGGCCCTCTGGGCTGCCAGCGCACATTGCTGGCTCATGTCCAGCCTTTCGTCTATCAGTACCCTCAAGTCCCTCTCAGCAGAGCTGCTCTCGATCCTTCCATCCCCCAGCCTGTATCGATAGCAGGGATTACCCCGACCCAGGTGTAGGACCTTGCACTTGGCCATGTTGAACCTCATGAGGTTCACACAGGCCCATCTCTCCAGCTTGTCCAGGTCCCTCTGGATGGCATCCCGTCCTTCTGGTGTCTCAACCGTACCACTCAGCTTGGTGTCATCTGCAAACTTGCTGAGGGTACACTCGATGTTGCTATCCATGTCATTGATAAATACATTGAACAGCAATATTGTGAATTACTGCTTTCTGATCGATGTATAACATTGCATGGGATTAGCCCCAATCAGGTACTTTAAACAACGCAAATCTCTCCATCCAGCATTGACCTAAGCCACACAAAACTGTGCTTCCCCCAAATCTCAGCAGAGTTTGGATAAGGAAGAACGCAAATTAAGTAAATCACTGTGCAAGAAATATTTACTTTCATTAGCTCACTAAATAATGAAAAATAAGGATGGGTCTAACTTTATAGGTAGTGCAAAGACACATATTTACAAACTCAAATTCAGTGCAATACTAAAGAGAAAAATCTGGCAGTGTAGAAGAATCTGTGTTCATTCCTCCCGTGTTTTAGACATCCTCCCAGTCATGTTGTTATTACATTTCATTAGGCAAGTGAAGAGTTTAATTTTATACATTCAGGTCCATATTCCATTTAAATGCAAAGAAACATTAAAAGACAAATTTAATTGCCTGAAAGCTTAATTTTGATCCACTATTTATCACAGTATCTTTTTGTGGATATATTCATTTATTTTAATGGGAGAGATTTATTTTCTGAAACCAATAATGCCCAATAATATATATCAGTAATAATAAATACCTGTAATACCAAAACTAGGGATGGATAATAAATATATAAAACTGAGCTCTTAACGTTCATGCAAACCACGTACATGTACACTGCACAGCTGCTAAAACTCAGTAAAAAATAAGAACCTTTTTAAAAATATTTCCTTTAAAGCAATTGCCTACACTTAATAATAAGCCTTAGGGAAAAATTAAAGCAACACTACTTTTACGGCATTACATTCTCATAAAACACGGATGAGCTCTTCACTTCTGATAAGACAACATGCATCAGGAATTTACTGCATTAAGGTACTAGCAGATCAAGGGACAAAGAAAATCATGTTCAGAAAGATTAGAAAGATGCTGATTAAAATCATAAAAATAGAAAACCAAGCAAATCGACAACAGATCTTAAAATGACCATTAGTGTTGCGCTATATAGTCTTTGGATGCTATTGAAGATATTGACTTTTCTGTAGTCCTATTTTTTACCTCTAAATTTTTCTACCAGTCTAAATCTAGTCTTTATACATTTCCATATCAAATGGATAAAGCACTCCCAAGCAAGCAAAAGGAAGGAATCAGATCTAAGACAATCAGGCATGACAGATAAAGGCAGACATAGCACATAATAATAAAACACAGGAAAACAATCCACATTTCATCGGGTTGCATGATTTATGGATTGTAGGGGCAGATGACATTCAGATACTAGTATGGAATTAAAATGCTGTAGGAGGCTTGAAAAAGCAGAGAGAAAAAAAATCACATTTTACTTGAATATATACAATTGCTATATATAATTTGTTAGTACTGATGTGCCGTAGATAAAAAGAGCAGTACAGAAAGAACTATCTTCTAAAAAGCACCAGAATTTCACTGATACAGAATGACTTTTTTCACAACTTAAACACTGTAGAGAATGACACACCTACATTTTGAGACACGTATAAGAAATCAACTTTAAGTGATTAATCTGAATTCATTTTAGCAGCTTAATTTTAATTAGTGGTGATTTACATTTCCAAACACAGATTCCTTCAGAATAAATTAAAAGAAGTGAGTCTACTCACAGGCATACATAGTACTCTAAATAAGCAAACATTAATAAGTCTTCAATCACTACCTTTTTAGGCAAAAATAACCCCTTCCCCTGTAATAAAATGCATACTTGCAAATACAAATTTAGCCAAAGAGTCAGATGAGTGGGATATTCACAAGGAAAGGGATAAAGCAAAATCCTAGGGTTTTTGTTTCTTTGCTTGCTTGCTTGCTTGTTTGGTTTTCCCCAGAATAATATGGTAGGTTTCAGGCATTATTTTTGGGTTTTTGTTCACTTTCTGGTATTGTAAAGGTATGCTGCTCGAACTAGTTTCACATGAGGTAGATTGAGGCCTAGGGGAAGGAATAATTTAGCAAATTATTCTTGCTAAAATTGCATATTTGAATAAGCCCCACTGCCTAATCATTGAAATTAAATTGAAACATGCATCAGGCATTACTAATTTTTAGTAAAACAATATTAAATACAAAAAGTAATGATGTCTTCATTATTTTTAATGGTGGAGTCATCACAGAAAAATAGCAGAGCACTAAAATGTTCTGGTGACATCAGTCCGGATATACTAAGTTAAGTGGTAACTACCATCTACAAGAACGTGCAGAGGAATTTTGGTCATCACCTGCTTAGGCTGTAGGACCCATTTGATCCATGTTTATGTTTGTGATCACCAACCGTACTTTTGTGAATATTTGTTAATGATATTGAATAAGGAAGTCACACAGAAATGCAATTTTTAACAAGGCAGTGTGGCTAACCCAAGAGTATAGAGACACCTGTAATTTCATAGGTTACTTCAGAAAAATTCAGGCTCCGCATGAGGCAGTATGACAAACTTAGAAAAGTCTAGAACCATAAAATACAAGATGAAACATACAAGAAGAATACAGGACAGAGATAAACGCCAAATTATTTCTGTGCAGAAACGCAGAAAAGGCAGTGGACCTAACAGCAAGATACGAAATGCATTAACAAGATATGAAAGGGAGGCCAAACAGAGCGCAATGGACATTTAAATCCGATTGAAGATGGAAATGGCAATAAGGATTAAAACTGCAGGCAGAAAAAAGATCTAGCCTTTTTATGAGTTCACAATGTTCTCTGGACTCTTGCTTGCAATTATACTCTAGGGTGACAATCAGTCATCAGGAACATCTGAAAAGAGTAATATCTACCGTAACAGAAGTTATTGCATTCATATTGTGTGATGAGCCTTTTCCATGATCCAGAATTAATCTCTTCTATGTCAAAAGTACTCAAATTATACCACACTAGTGTTAAAGCACGGTGAGACTCATAAATCTTAAGAATGACAATCCAGCTGCAGTTAAATAAAAGTCAGAGGAAATTTAAGCTCATTTTAAATATAAGATATATTAATGTTTACTACAAACACTGGGATGAATATATTGAAAAGTAATATTCAGCAAACAGAAGTCTATGAAGAGGCCATGTATTCTGCTCTTCTTTATAATGAGAGGCTAATCTAACTTATCAGAATGCTTCTCGAAAATTACTGCTTATTTGTTCTTCTTGCTGCTTCTCCTTAGCTCTTACCTTCCAGACTCGAATGTGAACCATGTTGAGTCACGTCCATATCTCCTCAAAGAGCTCAAAGGCCACATGACCAGCTTAACCTTAGCGTTGTGGATGTCCCAGAGATAGATGTTTTCGTGTGTGATCTGCATTGTACATTCCCCATAGATATCTAAATTTGGTGTAGGCATAAGATATACATTGAATCGTTCTGGAAAAAAAGAAAACACAACACAGAATAAGGCGTTACCAGTTAAAGTAAGATTTTATACTGGGAAAAAAATTTTAAAAATAAAGTTTTTAGTTGCCAATGTTTCAGAGATCAAGGCCAAAGTTTTAGCCTTGAACAGAGGTGACGATTCACTGATGTCGAAGAAGCCTTGCTAGTGTACGTGAGAAGAATAAGAGGAGAGTCTTCTTAATTTCATTTTCATTACAAATAATGCATCAGAGTGAAACATCTTTCACAGATGATCTGTATAGTTCTGTTTGACATATGTCCCCACTGACTTAACTGAAGTCATTTATCATCACATTAAAGGCCACAACCCTTTGCAAATCAAAACTCACTCTGATAGAGGCTCCTTTCTCAAAGAATAGGATTGTAGGTATCTTGGCAAACATGCATGTACAACCATTGCCCCTTAGGAAAATTGTCCTTGAAATTGAAAACCCAGGTTTATTTACTGAAGCTTGTTAATAATTATGGTCTTTGTGTTCAGGTTCTATTTATTTGACAAACTCATTATCATTTATCAAATTAATAACTTTTTTAATCATCTACTGCTTTCTTGAAAAATCTGATTACAACAGGATATATTATTATGGTCATGACACCAATTGCTATCAGCTGCAATTCCACTGCAGACTGCACTCATTGCAGTAATAGGTCAAGGGCATTAACAATTTTCAGAAGTGCCTGAATTGCATGTGATTTAATAAGCAATGCAAAAACTACCCTTTAAAAAAAAAAAGAAAAAAGGAAAAATACTAGATTATATAAAACAACATTAACTTCTCTGGAAGTAAGTAAACCACAGTAATAGCAAGATAATTTTAAACAGAACTGCAATTTTCTCTGAAGAATAACTGTTTCTGTAAGTTGCTTCTACAAAGAATGAAAAACTCAGTTAAACTTCAGGTTGTACAGTTGGAAGTGATAGCCTACATTTTAACTCTAAAGGTACTGAAATCTTACAGCTTAATATCGTAATATGAGAGAGTGCAGCTGATTCACAACTTACTCTCACAATTTCCTTTCAATTTTGAAATAGGATAGAAATGCAAAATCTCAATGCTACTGCACTGAAGGGTGTTGACAAAAAAAGGTAAGAATGATTTAAAGTATGAACATAAGCAATGCTCATTCAGTAAACAGTGCTGGGAAAACATACTTTAAAAGGACACTGGAGAGGAAAATCATCTCCAATTACTTAATAAATGAATGACAGATTGATGTGAAACATTTTTAATCCATTATTTGCATTGAATTTTCTCAGGGCTTCCTCATAAAACTTAGGAAGAAATTTAAAATAATCAGAAGAGAAATAAAGTGAGAGAAATTTATCATAACAGTCAAAATTAGATGCAGCTTCCCATTGTGTTTGATGTTCAATATCATAGACATTATGTCACCATTTTTTGAAAATTTTATATAAACATACTTTTCTGAAAAATCAGTGAAAATATTGTGAAAAAGTGAGTTAGTATAAAATATGTTAGAAGTGCATGTGTGTGAGTGCATGTGTGTGTGTGTGTGTGAATAAAGTAGCAAAAGTTTGGCTGAGGAACTAATGGAAGCACAGAACTGCTGGGTGGCCAGTAAGAATTGCATAGCTATAAGTAAACTTCTCATCCCCAATGTTATTCTGTTCCAGTCAATTGAATTTTGTCCTATTAATAAATCACCGATTGATTCATTCAGTCTCATAGCCATTCAATGTCTTCTCCCCGGCTCTAGCCATCATTAATCACAGTAATGGGTGTTAGCCCTAAAAGTTTAATTTTATGACTAAGGCCCCAAGTGTGAAACTCCTCATGTTTTGTAAAAGCCTTTTGACACACAGCACAACTAGTTTAGATTAGAATTTCCCCTAACCCCTAGAGGAGTGCGTTGGGCACAGGTCTAAAGTGACGCCTGCCGAAGTAAATGGAAAGACTTACATGGGAGTACGGGTCAATGACTGCATTGGGAAGAGAATGGTGGAGAACAAGAGAATTTGCAATGGAGAACAAGAGAATCTGCAATGGAATTATATGGGGATTTATACATACAATATATATAAATATATACGCGCTTTTTCAGTATCCGTATGTCGTGATAGTCATACAAAAATGCCTTGGAGCTATGCAGGTGTGCTTTTATCATATATTATAATCCATTTTTGCATTGCCATGCTGTTACTTTCTGTTACTTACCTCCTCTATTTGAGAGAAAGATACAGATGACTGATATACTGTCTGGTTCTCTTGGCCTCTTCTTTACATTACATGAAATCACACAATGTGTCTATGGGAGAATGGGGCTACTCTATGAGAATGGAAATTTTTTCCTTTCTCTGTCTACACTGACAGAGAGCCTCAGACAGCAGAGAAAATGGAAAGGTGTAATTATTTTCTGAAGTAAACATTGAAATGCTGTGTTGAAGGCACACAATAATTCAACTTATTTTAGAAGTTACCAGGATACTCATTAAATGCTCAACTTCTCTGAAGCTTTTGAGGATATTATTGTATGTAGGATATTCAGGACATATGGTATCCTCAAACTGTCAGGAGACATTTGCTGACTTTGCATGGGAGGTCAGAGTCTAAGGTGAGGTGTCATGGATTAAAGAAAGTATGTCTGATTAAACTGAACATCAGCTGCAGGGCAAAATGTGGCACTCTTGGTACTTACTCAAATTGGCAAGAAAAGCAAGTGTACAGACATATGTGCTGGAGAAGACTGAGAATGGATATATTTACACTTGAAACAAAAACTTAGAAATACTTTTGAGCAGTGGGAAATTGAGGACATGGAATGGTGTGGATACTATTAAATGATTTTAGGAATTAAAACACAAGGCCCAATTATTTCCATTTCAGAAAATATTTGAACAGGAATCTAGGTAATGTTAATACAATCATCCAGTTTTTAGAGGCAATTTTTGCCCTTAAACTCTTCCAGGCAAGAACAAACATTCATAGGCTAGATTTGGGAATCCCAGCTGAATTCTGTCACCAGATCTTCTGAATCACATTGAATAGGATATTTAGCTTCTCTGCGGGTCAGTCACCATCTGTATATGAGTCGGATGAGATAATAACAGTACATTTGGTAGTAAGATTAAGTAAATAGAAGTTAATGAGGGGACCCAGAAAATATGGAGATGGAAGAAACCAAACAATTAGACGCTATCCTACAAGACAAGGCTGAGACTGAGCACGTGCAACTCTTCAGCATTCGGCATCACTAGCCTCCTCCTTCCTCTAAAACTGGTGAGAGCAAAGTTCACGGAGTGGGGGAACCAGGATGAGAAAAAAATGCTGATATATTGTTCAGCTTATTATTTCACTCTTTTCAGTGTAACTGCTCTTTCGCATCTCCTTGACTAAACAGAGCAATGCTTCATCATACACTTCGCGCATGTAGAGGTGTTTAGCATTTGGGATTTGGCAAAAATATGACCTTTAATATTTTCCAGAGCACAGGAGCATAACAGTCTGTGTTAAAATGAGCACATTGACTGAGATGGAGGCTTGGCAGCAACTCTGAAATGCTCTCATCTTCCAGCTGAAAGTCCAGCTGTACTAGGGAAGCAAAACGACTGTGAGGCCCAATGAACCCCATTCTACACATTTTATCACTGGATTCCTTTGCCTGAATAATCCCAGCTGGAAAACTGACCAGATAACATTGCAATCTTGCAATCCAGATGCTTTGTTTCATTTCAGCTTCAATGCAAAGGAAAAAATACCTGTGGAAGGAGGCAGTCAGGTTGGTGGGATCTATATAGGAAAAGGCTTTATCATTCAGTTTCTATATGGAAGAAACTCCTTCTCCATCTATGACACTTCTGCTGTTGACCATCTTTAGCTCATTTTCAGGTGGAAAGAGAGCTCTAAATCTTGAAGTCACAGCATTTTGTGTTCGTTCATATGGCAGGTCTATTAGAACAATTCTCTCCTGCTTTACACAGTGAGGAACCTTTGCTTGTATTAAAAAATGTACGGAATTGTTTACTAACATCTCAGTGAAAACATAAGGGCTACCATAAACAAATTATTTTAAATTGTTTCACTGACAAGTAGTAATGTAGAGAAGAATCTGAAAACTCTCTGGATTAACCAGCTATTTAAATTGTAAACACGTCTCTCTTCTGAATTAAGCTGGTTATGTTTGCTTTACTTTTTAAAAAAATCAAAGTATAAAAATGGATTAAGGATAACAGAAGATGAATAAAAAACATGCAAAATGCTTTTATGTAGTAAATCACCAACAGGAATTCTATAGACCCTGGAAAATGCCCTAAAACAAGTCAGTTCTGTGAATGTAATTACAAAGCTTTGGTTGTAGTTTGCAATCTCAGTATGTAGCACAAAAAAATAACTCATAATCCTTTTCCGAGGATTCAAGGATTTTGTTCACTATGAAAAGCTACATTTGTACTAGCAGAAATTAATGACTTCCTTGCAAGGAAGCAAGACTGCTGTACTGTGGAATCTTTTTAAATGAAAAAGGAAGGTAAAACAAATGTTATGAAAAAGATGACAAACTTTACAAAGGAAGCAATTTTATATTAATTTAAAGGGAGTAAAAATAAAAAAATCAATTATCTTTCAAATCTCTACAGACTTCTAAAAAAAAAATTAGCTTTAGAAGGCATTAAAAAAAAAAAAAGGCCAAAGCACCACTTAACACATAATAGAAAAACATCACACTGACATCACAGGCATGACACCTAACAATAAATGAGCTACAGCAGCAGCAAAAGATGGAAAGGGCCTTTTCTTCAGTGCAAAAAATTTGCATTGTTACATTTGCCTATTTTATTCACTGTTTACACCAGTTTTACAAGTAAAATTGAATAGAATATGATTTAGTCCAAGTGTTCAGTTATTTTAGTGTTATTATTTAGTGTTCAAAATAGGAATAGAGTTCACGAAAGAGAAGTACCTGCTCTTAAAGAGTGAACTGAGTAGCACTGTCTACACATAACATTTAACCAATATTGTCTTGAATATTACTATTTCTTTTTCACAGTAAATATAGTCTGTCATTGTGTACTGTCTGTTTGGATGACTTTATAATTATTTCATTTTATAAAGAATGAAAATACAGTGACACTTCAGAAACAGTGATATTTAAAAAAAAATCATGAGCATGGACAAATTCTATCTATGATGACAACTAGGCAGATAAAATATTAAAAAAAACCACTTTTTTTTGTTATTATGTTTTGGGGTGTACTACAAATGCTTCCAAATGCATTGAAAACTCTAGCAGCAGCTTGAAAAACCAAAGGAATACAAAACATGTGTGTAAGTATTACATGATATTGCTCAGGAGACTACTTGTCAGCAATGTTATCAGATCCAACTGAGTCCAGAATTTCTTTCCCAGAGTTATACCTGTGTATTATTACTTGTCTTATCATTGTATATACAGCTCCACTGCCACTTTATTAATTTGTTATCTGAATACGATCATGTAGTCTTTACTGCTTTTGATTTAAGACTATATTTTCATTCTTTATCAAATAATCTAAATGGACATTCATAAGTAGTAAGAGACTGTTTGGTGTGAAAAGAAATTTCAACAGAAACAGTGTTGCTGCTATAGGCATGAGGAACACAAATCACTTAGATTCGAAGGAGAAAGAAGGTAAAATGTTTGGAGAGTAACAGAAGCTTCATTTCAAATCTCACTTTTATTGAAATCTGCATATCATCGCAAACTAAGCAGCTATTAGTTGTGAATCTTAACTGTTAAAAGAAAACCACTGAAGTGTCATTTCTGCAGCCGAGTTTACACAGCAACACTTAGGGTAATACTTCTTGGAAATAATAACAGAAATGAAGTCCAGTGAGAAGCTTTCTGATACTGATGTGCTTTGCACTAGAGTTGCTTAGATGTCTTCTCTAGTCTTCCTACAAGACTCAATAGCCAGAGTTCTCTGCTATAAGCAGTGAAGATCTATAGTTTGGTTCTTTTAACTATCACCAGTGCAGAACTGCTTGGTGCTAGAGGGTCAAGCAACAGTGCAACCACAATATAATAGGTCTCACTAGCACCTACTGAACAACTTGGAAGCATAAAAGAACATCTCTTTCAGATTGTTGCACAACTGTAAATTTTTATCCTCATATGACAGAAATACCAGATGAATGTATGGCCTTTTAGCTGTGACATTTGCACATCAAACACAAATTTTGCTAGCTTTTGGAACAAACTGTTTTGCAGACCATATTGTTGCATTCTTGTCACAGAGAATCAGGTGTTTTCTGAAATCAAAAGCTCTTCTCGGGAGAACCACAAGAGTGAGAGCGGAAGGATGAACAGACTCAGATGTAACAAAAAGAGATGTTAGATAAATCACAGAAAACACACTTATTTTCCTTGACAAGTATTTTATGAAATCTGAGTCCTTGGGTATAAAAAATATAAGTAGCACGTAGCAATGAGTTTTTGTGGTCTCATGGCATACACGTTAGCAATTAAGAAAACTATTACAAATTGAAGATACTGGTTACAGTGGTCATATACAGGCACTAAACCAGAAACCTATACAACAGAAAACTTATTGTTTTTTCAAGATATAGCCAATTTACTTGATCCCTTCAGTGAGTACCCTTACAAGTACATGACATACACCATGCAAATGTCCTCTAAAGACCAGAATGGGCAAGTAGTTGGACAGACGAAGTAGACAGCACATTAAAAATATTATTGCTAGAAAAACACAATGTAGCTCATGAAAAAAATTATTAGGCTAGTTCTTTTATGATGAAGGAAGTATCTTTATCAAAATTTTAACTTCTCAGAAAATCTTTAGGGCAAAGTAACCATTTGAAAAAAGACAGTGGAATGATATGGGATTAATAGTTACTACACCTGTTCTCTCGTGATTAATGGCATTAACATCCTGTCATATCATAGAGATATCAACAGTATAACACCATTCAATTACTTTTAGCCCTTAGGATGTAAAAAAAAAAAAATCTAAAACTGCAAAACCACAGGCACTGTCGTCTTTATGACACTGCAATCTGTGATCTTGCCCATATATTAAGAGATATCTTTTGTTCAGTGACCTGAAAGAAAGCCCTCGTATTGTTCAGCCAACAGAACCTGCAGAAAACTAGATGCTGAGGTTTTATGATTCTATTGCTGGTTTTACAAATTGTATTCTCACACCTCTGCTTCAAGTAAATATTAATACATTGACTAACACAGAAGGAATTCTGGAAGTTGACATACTTGCAATAATGACATTCAAAGGTATTATACCAGTGTACAGATTTTGTCTAACAAAAAAACAATCAAATGACCCTGAGAGTGACACAGCTGCCATTTTCACATTGAGCAAGAACGTAAACTTTTCAGACATATAGACACTTTTCATGAATTTCAGACTGCAAAATTTACTTTGACCTTTAAGTTTCGGGTCAACAGAAGCTCAGTAGACTTTTAAAAGGTTTTTAGGTATGTTTTGAACTATAACTTTTGTTAGAACGATTTTAAAAGCTACAATACAGGGAAAATGTGCAAGAAAATAAATTTAAAATCTGAATTTTTTATCAGAGCTCTCCAAATGATTCCAGCCTCTAATTAGTCACCTTTCCCATAGAACTGTCATGTGATTGACACTGGGATTGACATGGGAATGACACTGCCAAGTTTGCAGAATAAGATAACTAGTATAAATTGAAGTCACGATTCCACTCAACTCATTTTACTGAATGAATCAGCTAAAGAAATCTGAGAGCAACTGCATGTTCTTACAGCACAGCTAAATGAACCACATGATAGATTTAATACCAATAGTAAGAATCTCTGTACTCTCCCCTCTTTCCAAGTTGATTCAGACACTCCCAGAACAGAATTTGCTTTGCTTCTGAACAAGACAACTAAGGAGACAACTTTGAATTTCAAAGATACTTATTAAAATGCAGAGTTGTGCATCAAGGGGTTGAGGGAAAGAAGCGGATAGGTGTCAGAATTACTTGTATGAGATATTGTAACTACTGATTTAGCAGAGCATGCTCATCAAATATTGGATTATATGTATTCAGCCACTTGGTTTAAAAGAACGTGGCTAATGATACCCTCCATGCATATTTATTCATGTGATTTGTACAACAAATACGTGTTTTGCCTCTTTGTTTCCTTTCATTTATTTACTTAGAACAATAAAGATGCTAATTATGTTCATATATGCTGGTTTGTAGCACTGCAATTAATTTCTAGACTAAGGCAATTGAATCAAGACTTGTTCACACAACAGAACTAATCTTTGTCTTCTGGAGGTCATGGGTGTAACTGGATCTCTTTCAAGAACAAGACGAAATGCAGTATTTGCCATCTATGTCCAAAAGCTACTGGACAATATATGCATTCACTGCAGAAACAGCTTGAGGAATTTGAAGCTATTTTTCTGCTGACATCACAGGCTTTTGACAAGATTTATTTTCCTTCACATTTGTGAAGGAACTCCACCTCCTTACATAGTTCCCTCTTTAACAGTATGCTTATGAGTTTTATACCTATAGCCTATGAGCATATAGCAGATAAGATGCTTTGAGTGGTGTCTGATCATTATCACTTTCCTATAGCACTAGTAGTTCTCCATTCTATATTTGCGAAGCAATCTGAGACTACAAATTAAATCCTTTTTCTCATAACAGGCAAACAACTTCACAAACATTTGAACTTCTTTTAAATTGCACTCAAACAATGTCTAATTTTTGAATGAAATTTCTTAAATATTTCTGTATGTTTTGTGTTATCAGGTTCAGAGATGTCTGGACTCTACTATGAAATTAATACAATACAATCAATACAGTGCTATTCATTCTACAATTTAATTATGTAATTTTGTTTATAATGACAGTTGGCTTGATATTTTATGACCATTGAGGCACTTTGCTGTATTAGTTTGTTAAAAGCTATTGGATTTTATAAAAGCATCAAGACATTAATAATCATTGAGTGCTGTAATTTAAGGAGGAATAAATGAGCATATTTTGTGTTGCCCTCATGTTCATTAATAGGAATTAAATGACAAGATAATCACAGATTTTCTTCTGTTATTTCATATTCCATCCACTAGCTTACTTCCTGTGGATGTGTCTAATCTAAACTTCTCTTCCAAACAGTCTTTAGATGAAGCCTTACAAGCTCAGGCTTAGTGTTGACTAGCATCTTTCATTGCCCTTTTCAGCTATGTTTCACAACATTTAGATGACCTGGACTCCATTATTCAAGACAACTATAAGTTTAAAGCAAATATATGTTTTGCAGTCCAAAGCGGTGTCGGTATGTTCATCAGTGTCTTTCAAAGGCTGTGGAACAACAGCTGCTGTTTCATTTCTCTGCACAGAGGCCATTGTTTCCAGAACCAAAAAGGTCATAGTCATCATTTCCCATGACAGGAAAATGTGAATGCAATGAACACATGGCATGGGATTTAATCATCTTTATTTGTAGAAAAAATACAATTGAGCCTCAAAAACACATCCACATATTTAGTTATTAATGAGGTGTTTATAGCTAATAGTAAAAATCCTCACAAAAAACACCACAAGCAAAGATAACATGGGACATCACTTCAAAACTGATCTAGGGGCAATTACAAAGTTACCTACCATTTTGTTCTCGCTGGACTCCAGCAGCAAGCAAATCTGGTTCCCCAAGACTTATATCATTGAGCCTGGTTCCTAGACACTCCATGCAAAGATGCTTGCACCATTCCTCTGCCTCTAGTTCTGGATAAACAGAAAAAAACAATTGTTAGTCTTAACATTTTACTGAAAAAGCAATTAAGTTATATCGATACTTTCTTACTGACCAGCTTTATGACGATATGCTTGTTTTGAAACATGAGTTACTAGCAAAAAATTCTCAACCTCTTTCTTTACCTTGATTTATGAACTTCTAAAAGGGTTTTCACTGTTAGAACTGCATCTTCCTTTTTCAAATTTGGGGATAGGAGGTAGAGTTAACAAAAAAGAGAAAAGAGCAGTGAGTTTTCAAGGCAGTATATTTCTAGCAGTAGGCTTTCTTGAAAGAAAAAATGCAATTTAGAAAAACATTAGATATAATACCTGAAATACTCTTTACTGTCCTTTAGGTGAATCTAAACTATTAAAGCACTTTCTGTTTCTAAATGTTTTAGAATTTTTTTTCTACGCACAAAGGAAAAAACAGTAATAAAAAGATCTTCAAATGCAAAACTTCCTTCTCTACTGTAATGAATGACTATGCATGTCAAGGTAGTCTGAATAATGAATTTCTTCAGTTCTGTTCACCTTCTTTTGATCTCAGAGCAATCTGGACTTTAGTTGGAACATTTACATGAAAATCCAAAACCTCCTAGACCCTTCTGAGTCCTCCATTGCATCCCACTGATGCACATCCGAGAGCTCCCTTTCTGCCAGTGTACCAAGACGTAAACTCCCAAAGGCATAATCCCCTGAGACACCACAACAGACCCTCCTCCACACCCAGATTCATCCTATCCACTTCCCAGACTTAACATCACAAAATCTCTGGCATTGGTCAAACAAACAACATCTCAAGTTGGCGTTCACACAGTGTGAAACCACATCTAATAAAAATCACACAACTAGGCTGACTGTCTTTTATTGCAGGATAGGCTTCCCTAAGGAAACTTTCTGGAGAGCAGACTCGGCACCAGGCACACACTGAGCATCAATTGTCACAGTAAGTCTATATCTGATCATCTTTAGGAGTGGGTGAGTCTAGTAATTTAGAAACGTCTCTATTAAAGACATTTTTTCATTACTATTTTTGGGGACATCTGGAAAATACTTTTGTGACAATCTCTCCAACACAGTGCTAAAATTTGGAGAGACAGAAAAATATGACATGCAAGCCCTGAAGCATCTAGCGATGATGACTCATTGTAACTAGTGAAAATTTATATCCAAGAAAAATCTCTCCATGCCTGATTGGTACAGTCCTCAAATCCTTGCCTGGTCAGGCACGGATCTCAAGTCAAGTAAACATTTGCTGGACAAAAAAGGCAGACAGACATGCAATTCCAGGTCCCCAAGAACCTTTGGGTAAGAACCTTTATTCAGGACTCTGAATAATACATGAATAGATTATTCCCGAGTTATTCTGGGTATTAGCTGACTGAGTCCCAGGCAGACAGCTCAAGTGATAGAGCCAGTTTTGAAATTTTTGAGAGCCAAATGTGGTTGTCGTCACAAGGACACAAACAGTTTTGGGGGGGGGCATCTCCAGAGCGCTGCAAGCAAACAGGTTTCTCTTAAATCTTCCTGATTTTTTTCAGTCTTTGTCTTGGGACACAGATCCTCAGAGATGATTTTCTCATATCATCCTCAGTTTGTGGTGGTAAAAGACAGAAGTTTCTGTCAGTAATATCCAGATGACATTTAACTTTGTATGTGAGAAGAAAATATTGAGGTAACAGCATGCTGTTCCTTAACACTTCCGCAGACGCAGCCCCCTTGATGAAAGTAAGGAGAGAACAGGTATATCTCTGGACAGCAATAAAAACTTAAAGCTTTTAAAAGGAGTAAGATTAATTTGTTTAAATGTCGACCTCCAAAATTCATTCTCTGCTCATGCATGAAGAAATTTCCCTCCTGCTTTCCCTTCCTCTTTTTCAGCCTTTGCCATTTCCTTGCATATTCATGAGGTCTACTGAACCAGAGTTATGCCTATAAATCATACCTTCCCATGGAGAGGGCTTCATGACAGGGAGATGATAGAAGTGGACCACAAGACATGCTGCCGTATTCTGGCAGCACACAGAGAGGGTGTTGGGAGCAGTGCACCAGCACATGGGTAAGTCAAGCCCTCCCCAGGGAGGGTTTCCAGTGAGTTGTCCAACATCTGCTTCCAGCTACAGATAAACTTGGGGGAATCAGTGCAAAACAGCTGGTAGTGCAAAGGTGACAGTGCCAATCTAGTCCAGTGCTTCCTATGCGTCTGTCTCACAATTTCTTTTCTGCCTTCTGTATTGAAGAACAATGTATATGCTGACAGAATGCATAGCTCTATATAAAGCCTATAATTTTTCCTGGAGGATGGTCAGGACATAACATTTTACACATTTAATAGAATTTGCATTTTATTACTTTATTTCATTGTGCCTGCACTCAGACTGAAAGGGTACATTCTGGAAATGTAGAATGAGATGATGGTAAACAAACACTAAACTAACCTTTCTAATTTCACAGACATCTAAGCAGAAAGGAAAACATATTGGTATTTCCATAAATCCAGCTGAACACCAATACATATTCAAAACAGGACTCTTCTGTAAAAGCAATAAGTTCTATTTATATGTATTCTCACATCACATTTCCAGCAAATTTTTTTGGAAACAAAGAAACCAAAAAAAAGCATTGTTCTAGGAAGCTGCTTGTTGTGAGTGTCTTTGTTTTCATCTCCTCCATCCAATTGCCTCTCTCTATTACAGGAACATCTAGATCTTCAAAGCCTGGATCCAGAAACTGCCTCTGAGAGTGTTTGGCTCTGGCAGTTTAATTTAAGCTGCTGCTTCTTCACTGGAAGGCATCGGTGACTAGACCCAGATCAGACCATTCTCCAACAGCCACACAGAAGCAACTTATCTTACTGTGGGTACTATAAGACCATGGCTTTATTTTGCAAAGTGTAGGCTATAACATGCATTGTATTGCAGTATAGCTCACAATTTGTATCTTACAAAAATGATTGACTTTATACTACAGAAAATATAGTCCCGATGCAGAACTGAAATATATTCCCGCAGAACCATGAGGATTTGTGTCAGCTGTTGGAAGTGTCAACATTATCTACAAATGTGTTTGGAAGGTCAAGGGTACGAGGGTACTGTGCAAGTTAGTTTTACCTAATGCATCCTGATAGCTATTGCTTACTTGCAAGGGATTGCCTTCAACCTTTTCCCTGAAAGACATGTGAAATCTTCTTTAGAAGCAGGTGAATTACCTTTCAAAGACAAAGCCATATTTCTTCTTTCATCATGTGCATCTATAAAGCAGTTCACCATTGTTTTGTAGCCAGTTTATAGAATGCTTTGAGCTTCTGGATGCCAAATTAAATATTACTTATAAATTTAAAATTTTATTTATTATAAATTAAAGTACATAAACGCATCAGTCACAGTAGCGGTCTCTAAGAATGACAGCTACCACACCACAAACCAGAGATACCGCTCTTACTTCTTTATTTTGATTATATGCATATATTGAAACAGACAAAATATTACCGTGGAACCAAGCCATAAAAAACTGTCAGCAAAATTTTTCTCTTTAATGCATGTAGATTAGATTTATTGGTGGTAAATGCTGACTTTTTTGTCATAACTGGTACTTGTCACTGAAAAATTACGTTTTCTTTTCAGATAACTACATTCTTGGACTGAATGACAAATTGTAAAGCATGCTTTCATAGTTATAAATAAAATCCACATACTTGTATTTTCATCTTTACTATTATTCAGTTATAAAATGCTGCTATACAAATGTCATGAGGTGAGATAAAATACAAAGAGATGGAAGACCTTAACTGGACACTGTTTATTGCATAACAAATATGGCTGGGAACCAATTTGTAAACTTGTCTGAAAACACACACCTTATTATTGGCAATATTTTCCTGCAGTTTACCTGGGCTTCCAGGTCATGCCTGAGGTTATATGTCATTGCTACTTCAGTTCTGACGTGATAAAACTGGTGCTGTACCTACTCCAGCCACTGAAGTTGTCTATTACAAATAGGTAACATCACAGGAAGATAAATGGGTATGTTGATATAATAATGATGTTGATATAATATTGGCAAATGGTATTGCAAACATAAGTTTGTAATAGTGAAAGAGTTCTTCGTCATCTTACAGTTTAAAGTAGTTTAAGATACACAACATATTCTACAGAGAGGAGGTGGTGGGGCAGAGACACAGATATACGGATATATTTCACTTCACTGTCTTTAGAGATCCTCTAGATCTCTAAGGCTAGAGGTGGGATTGTTTTCAGACTCCTGCCTTGGGAAGAATTTTGTGTGTGGACTAAATCAAATACCTTCTGAATCCTGATAACTTCACACTCTT